CCAAATAAGGATGAGCTATCGAACAAACACGAAAATTGAGCATGAGAGACGCAAAACTCTTTAAATAGAAATGGCGAGGTGAAGGAGTTTGTGGTGTCGCGCTGTTGCTCGGAAGTTTTTTAATGCATTATTTTAGTGAAAAAAAAACCGTACTGCGAAATGATGGTATCCTAAAACTTCGCATGATGCGTTGTTCGTGTTGTTAAGGCTCCTGGGTGCACCTAACCCAAACTAATTGTGTTGTTGTGGTCTTTGTTCAGTAGGCCCTTGTACAATAATCGTTGACCCATGTAGTCGTCGTGGGAACTAATTTTAGCTTATCTTGAGGGAAAAAAATTTACAATATGCTAAAGAGGATCTCTGTGTACTCAACATATTAAATGCAAAATCCTCGTAGACCCAAAAGATCAGCAGATAATCGAATTTTCCACAAAGCATGCTAATATGTAGCTTGGCTTTCAGTTTGGTTCTTTTGAAGTGTCCAATTGTGTTTGTAATTAGGCATGCTTGGGTGAAAAGCACAATGGCGGTATTGGCGTTTTGCAAACTCTTCGTGTGACAATGCAGTGTTTTTCTTATCATCTTTATGATGCTGCGGTAGCCAGGAATAATCAATGCCCCCTTCTTTGCGATTTTACGACAACGAGAAAAGGTTAAGGATGGTTGAAATTTCGGCAACAACATTTATCCTCAAAATGTACAGAGAGCCAAAGACTCGTCCCATATCCTGATCTTTTTAGTTACCGTGGTGACGGGATAATTTTAAAAAGCTAAGACACCAAAACCTATTTCAAGAAACCGTAATTTCTTTTAATAATAAGCGAGTTTTTTTGCGGCATTTTCGAAAATTTCAGCGTTTTTTGATAAAAAGCTTTATAATTATCATGCTAGTTCGTGCTTGGCTTTTCGAAAGGGAATTATTCAAGATGAATATTATAATTTTAAATGGCTGATAATTAAGCGATTTGAGAGAAGCATTAGAGCAAATTGAGATGCCTTTTCTCGTAGTTCGATAGTGCACTAGCATGCTATTATGCAACACCATAAATTTGACAGATTTTTTTAAACCAAGTACACTTAAATCGATTTGCACGTAGAAAAAAACGCATAATTTTCTTAGCTTCATGGTAACATATGCTAATTAACTTTTACTCCAAATGTTTTCAGTAATACTTCTCTGAGATTGTAATGTTTCGACCGAATTGAACATCTAAGTCTTCTTTCTCCTCAATATGTTTTAAATATCTAAAGCTGCGCTGTGAAAATTGAGTTTTCTGTAAACAATTAAATTGCATGATCAATTGAATATTGATTATAAGAGTGTGAGGTTGTACCTGACAGTTAAGAAACATTTTGTAAACACAATGCTACATTTTCATACTTAATAACTAAATAATAAGCTCCGCTTTTGCATAAAAAGCCGTAGACGCGGCTAGATATTGCACTCACCCGACTTGAGTAATAAAATTAATATTATAATGCAGCGTGAAATCGCCACTTTACTTTTCTTCATTTCTTGCTTTTGACGTGCTAACTTTGTCCGAGACTTGGCTGGATTCCTCAACAAGTGATGCTGAAATAAAACTCCCTGGATTTGTGTGCATAAGGTTAGATCGCACTGGCAATAAAGAGGGATATGGCGGAGTTGCTATGTATGTAAGAGAAGATTTGGCGTTTCGTTTGCGGAATGATATCAATACTGGTGGACAGGAATGTTTATGGATTGAGTTAATTCGAGATAAATGTAAGCCAACGTTATTATGTTGCGCTTATAGAGCACCAGATGCCGATCTCCGCACTTTTATTTCGTCTCTGCGAGATAGTATGCCTGCTGTTGATCTTGAAAAATCGGATGTGGTCATTTTAGGAGATCTAAACGCAAACATGATGCCTAATTCAAAATTGCCCAAGAAAGACAAACAACTACTTCTCAACTTCTCGCGCGCTTTTGACTTCACACAGCTGATAAAAGAGCCTACTCGAATATCTGACACCTCACGGACCTTGATTGACCTGATTTTTGTCAATAATGAACATCGCATTGTTAAATCTGGTGTTGTTCCGTTTCCATTGAGCGACCATTACCTGGTGTTTTGCATTCTAAAGACTGGTGTGCACACAAAAGCACATCCAAGAATGTTTGAGTATCGCTCTTACATGAATTTCGATGCGAATTCATTTAACGAAGATCTTAGGAATGTTCCTTGGCACGTCGTTGACAATGAAAACAATATCGATGACGCTTTATTAACTTGGAAAAAACTGTTTTCAGAAGTTGCAGACGATCATGCACCTGTCAAACGACGACGTGTGAAGGGAACACCTCTTCCTTGGATGAATAGCAAAATTAGCGAATCAATGAGAGATCGAGACTGGTATCATCGTAAAGCACGTAAATCGAACTCAGAAAAGCACTGGTACACTTACAGGAAACTGAGGAACAAAGTAAACCGCTTAGTAAAATCTGCTAAGTCGAAATATTACTGTGACATGATCGAGGAAGCCAGAGGAGATCACGGCAAAATGTGGAAAGCTGTAAACGAAGCATGCAATCGTAATTCATCCTCAGAAAAGGTTCAGTGCATCATTTCCGATGGCATTCAGCACACCACTTCCAAATCCATTGCTGTTGCTTTGAATAGCTTCTTTGCATCCATAGGCAAGCGCCTAGCTGACAAAATAACGACTACCTGGTCGAATTGCAACTTGGTTTTAGAACAACCGTTGTCTCAGTTCCAGTTAACTGAACTAGAGGAATCGTTTGTGCTTCAGCAGCTTACCTCTTTGAAGACAAATAAAGCAATTGGTTTGGACAAAATTAGTGCTAGACTACCCAAGAGCTCTGCTAATACAATCACTCCCTCCATCACTAAGCTGTTGAATCGATCGATTCTTACTGGTAAATTTCCTAAATTGTGGAAATGCTCAAAAATTACAGCCTTGTTTAAATCTGGCGACCGGTCAAATGCATCGAACTATCGACCTATCTCTATTTTACCGACACTCAGTAAAATTCTCGAGAAAGCCGTGCATTCCCAGTTGTACCAATACTTGGTTATTAACAACCTTCTCACAAGGAAACAGTTTGGATTCAGGAAGGGGCTCTCTACTGAATCTGCTTTGACATCATTTGCTGATGAAGTCTTATTGAACATGGAACAAGGTAAACTGTGTGGGGCCGTGTTTTTGGATTTAACCAAGGCTTTCGACACCGTGGACCATCGGATTTTGTTACGCAAGCTTTCCAAAATTGGTTTATGTGAGAACTCGCTTCAGTGGTTCCGCTCTTACATTACTGACAGGAAACAGCGTACATGTTGTGGGAATGAGTTGTCTGATGAATTGCCAGTTACCCATGGGGTCCCTCAGGGAAGTATTCTGGGTCCTCTACTATTTGTCATCTACATTAACGATTTGCCAAGCGTTCTAGATGCCTGTCAAGCAACACTTTATGCAGATGACACGGTGATCTACTGCTATGGGTCTTCCTCTCAGGAGCTGACTGAAAAGCTCAACCAAGACCTCCTGGCTGTGGCGAAATGGCTGAATGAACATAAGTTAACACTGAATCTGGACAAAACCAAATGCATGCTTATAGGCAGTAACAAGAAGTTACAGAGGAAAATAGCTCTAACTGTTTCAATCTTTGATCATTGTATAAACAATGTTACTTGTTTTAAATATCTTGGAATCTTAATATCGTCTGATTTTTCGTGGACAAATCATGTCGAATACATGGCAGGGAAAGTTAATCAAAGGCTTGGCCTACTTAGACGCATTAAGCATTTGTTACCGTTTAAGGCGCGCATCCTTTTTTATAAAAGCCTTGTTATGCCCTTATTCGAGTATGCTGATTTAGTTTGGGGAGACAAACATAATGTAACTTTAATGTCTAGTTTGCAAGTGCTTCAAAATAAGGCGGCTAAAATAATATTAGATCGACCACTGTATTCCTCTGCGTCTGATGCGTTAACTACACTGAAGTGGTTAACACTAGAAAAAAGGCGCTTCCAGCGCCGATGCGTACATGTATATAAATGTCTTAATGGTCTCACGCATCACGAATTAACATTAGTCACTCAGCAAGAACAGCATAGTTACAACACAAGAAATAAAGCAAACCTCAAAATTCCATCCGTTAAAAGAAACTGGGGTAAGCAAAGAACTGGCTATCATGCTGTAAGTGATTTTAACTCGCTGGACAAAACTATACGAGCCTCTGATAATGTAAATATTTTGAAGCGTCAGATTTTTAATTCATTGATTTAAGCTTTGTATTACACATAAGATACATTAGTTTTTAGTAGCATCTTTTAGCATTTTTATTCAATGTAAATTTTTAATTTTTAATTTTCGAGGTCCTTTTTGTAAACCACTTTTTAGTGAAAAAGTTTCCTCATTAAAGATTGTCATTATTATTATTATTATTTGCTTAAAAAACAAATTCCGTGTTCCGTAAGCATGCGTTGACGCAGAGACTGCGCAAAGCCGACTCTGTAGTTAATATTAAAGGCGCGTAAAGGGCGTAGATTGGGATGGTTATAGTTTCCGGATCAATATTGAAAGAACTAACAAAATATGTGAAATAGATGTGTCTGATCGGTCATCAATGAATTACCGAGTGATTTGCATGTTTGCATGAGTATAAGTGGAATGTGGAAAAGATTTGTTATATAACGATTATCGACAGGCCTTTAAAGAAAGTTTCCGGTGTAACACTTTTTACCCGATCCTTCGCGCTGTCTAATACTGAACATTCCACCTGCATGAGATGGCGGAATGTTCAGTTTACCCCCTCCTTCGCACTGTCTTATACTTTAACTGAACATTCCGCCATCTGTTGTTATTCCCAGTTTCCTACCACACCAGAAGACGAAAGCGCAGTTGTTTCTCAACTCTCTCAAAATACACCACAGTGGCTTATTAAGAGTAGATGGGACTTGCTCTAAAATTTTTGGCTTTCAGCAAAATCAATATTCAGAAAACATTGCAACTTGAGCCTTTATTATCTATCTTCAAGTTTGCAGCAGCTTCCATAGCAATTGGTATGATATCACTATGCTAATATAACTACGCGAATAAATATTTCTCCGGACTGAGATTCAGGCAGTTGATGCACCTGCAAGGAAAATGAAAATAAAGACTAATCAGAATTTTTCGGATGTCAGTACTATCCCCGGCTGATGAAAAACTGCAATCCACACTCAGTCACCAGCACTCTCCTGCACGGTAGGCCCCTCCTGTGTATTCGTTCCCATGGGCTCCTTGCTCTTTTCTCCTTTGTTCTCATTACATATCGTGGCGTCACTCAAAGCAAAAACACTCTTAAACGTATACCATTTTCTTTTTCTCAATCTTTTTTTGTTTTCTTCATCTCTATCATATTTATTCCCCCACGGGAAACAAAGAACCCACTGAAATTTGACATGGTTTGATACTATTCTGATTTAAAGATTTAACTGACTGTCACTAAGAGGCTACAATTCTTAGACCCAACGATTCGACACTCCTGTCTAGTGCTTTCACCAGGGGTGAAAGCCTGTATCCCTTAGGACTCCGCACAGGAGGCCAAGACCTCAAGCTCGATGGAGCACAATGATTTCATTGCATCGGTGATTGAAATACAAATGACAGCGGTACTTAGCAATGCGGACTCTGTTGTTCGCGAGCCGGTTGACCCTTGTACCACTAGTTTGACTATAACTTTCTTACAAATAAGATATATTAAAGTTCACACGGCAACCAGGTGGACAATCGGACATGATTTGGTGCTACTCTGCTTTAAAGATTTAATGAATGTAACCGAGAAGTTACAATTCATAGACCAACGTTTCGACACTCCTGTCTGGTGCCTTCATCAGGAGTCCCTGAAATTTGTCTTACCAAGCTCAAAGAAGTTGAGCTTCAATCTTTCTTCGCCACACCCTGGCCAGTATACCAACTGTATTCTCTCCCTAGGCCATCCACCGTCTGGATGAACACAGAAATTGTTCTTCAAATTCTTCAGGTTATTGTGTGTCGGCAGCCTAAAGTGACCAAAAAACTATGTATGAGTAAACCATTATTCTCCACGAAAAGGGACGTATTTTAACTGGAATATGAATAACTAAAACTAATTTGACGATTTCATCACGTCATTTTCGAGATATTAACCAAACAAAGGAAGTCAGGAACTCAAAGGTGCTCTAAGACCCGTAAAGAATTTGATGTTGTCGGTATGAAAATGCATGGAATGCTATTTAGGTTTTTAAAGAGAAACGTGCAACTTCCTGATACATATTGGAAAGCAGATGACTCAAAGCGGAGGAGAAAGAATTAGCACGAAAGGAAAGGTATATATTAGGTTAAAATGTGAGGCATAAATTGTCATTCTGAATTTCCACGAGAGGAATATATATAGTATAAATTAGGTTAAAATATGAGGCAAAAATCATGTCATTATGCTGCAGCTTTTACATTTACAACATACCTGACATGCCTTGAAATATTTAGATGGCATTCATCTTTTAACATAAGTTTCTTTCCCTTGGTAGGGTTATTGTCTACGAAAAATAAGAGGGAAAAAACAGACAAACAAAGTTCGAGTCTCATAAAACGGATTTTAAATGACGAACTTACGAATCTGTGTTCAATTTCTACAAGAAGTGTAAATCGAGACGAACGATGTTTTTCTCACTTGAAATTTTAACATCTTCTCTCCCTAGAAATGTTGGTACACATGCAAAGTAATCTATCCCCGAAAAAGGAGAATTTTAATGGGTCAAGCCTGGAAGGGGAGTAACAACTCAGGGATGTTGGTGTTAACTGAGAAATGTAAGAGCATCACTCTAAAATTTTGCCGATGATCGTAGCTCGTAAAAAACAGAAACAAAAACAAAAACGACGACAACTGACTACGAAAATAGTCAATAAGAATTCAGATACCATTCATAAATAATTCCAGAAACAACAACACTTAGGGTACAAAGTAAAACAAGAAAACTATTACCCTGTGGACAAACTTTTTTCGTGCTGCACTTGTGATAAATAACTCCATCCTGGTCGAGAATAAAAATTTGATCGGTTGCATTACAAGCCGTGCCGTCCTTTTTGGTGAAGATGAGATAACTGCCGTCAGGAGGGGAACAACCTCCTCTATTTGGCGCCACACAGAAGTCACCGGAACTTCGTATTCCGCTCTCTAAAGAAGCACATCAAACACTCACTTCAATGTACCGTGGTCAATACGCTATCTAAAAATGCCATCACAGTGTTAACAGTATAGGGCCTGATGTTGCAACCATGAAAACAAAATAAAATAAAATGAAGCGGCCTGATTTTCACGATCAATTATTGTTTTGACTTACGTATTCACAAAAAATGTACATGATCAATGGTGGCTTTACTCCTCTAATCAAATTTAACCAACGTAACAAAGCTGTGAAAAATGAGATGTTGTCTTCATCTCTTTAATAATTTATTCCCTCACGGTAAACGAAAACCTCACTGAAATTTGCCTTTTAAAGAGGCTTCTTAGCTTAGTAGTACCGCCCAACTAAAGCATGCCCAGTTGCACCACACATTTAGCCATAGAGTTGCTCGTTCGAGTTCGAAACGCGTTGCAACTGGAAAGAGAAAACTGAACTTTCTGACTTCACGCCAGGTCGGGCTATTCTTTTGATCTAAATATTTCCCCCAAATTTTTTCAACAGAAGTTTTTGTCGACAGCTTCCAGACATCTCAACACAACGCTACGCAATCATCTAGAAAACAATGACTCGAGTATGGTGAATCTAAAGCGCGGGTCGCCTCCATGCGAGAAACTCTTACTTTTTTAGCTTTTTATCAGCATATTAAACATTTAAGTTTAGCTCTGGTATTTTATTTTGCAAATTCCACAATATACAGCAGAGAAAACGATGAATTTTCAAAATACCTCCTCGTTCGCAGTGAGTTCCGAAAAATCCAGGTTCACAGTTACAGTGATAGGAGTTCAGTTCATAGTCAGTAATACAGCCAGCACTGTTCTTACAAGGAGCGCTTTCGCATGGAGACTGCAAAAAGAAGAAAAATCCCTTTTCTATTGAATTCTTAAATTTATTCTTAAATTGGCCCGTCCTATATTACTCACCCACGGTCTGTGATGATGGAAAGTATCATTTGCAAGGAAGTGTTTAGCCGCTTTGTACTTGTCAGTAGCCAACAATTCACACAGATGAAGACCTTTGGAGTCAGGATACACTGCCAAGTTCAACGAATAACACTTTGTTTCTTCAACACAAAGAAAGATGCATTCTGACTCATTTTCCACCATGACGGATGTAAGGTTTTCAGCCTGTAAGTAGTGAAAGGCATCGCGCCTGAAATTGCCATAAGAAATGTGGCTTGTTGGACTTCGATGAAAAGTGCTACCTTGCATTGCAATCGTTAGTTCTAACAAAGAAGGAAAAAACAACCAGACGGGAAGTAGTAGCATGATAGTGACCCTTGGACTGTCACCACATGAAAGTGTTGCAGTGTTTTACAGAGTAAACGCTATCAATCAGGGAGCAGGTGCAACGCTGGGGTTGAGTTGTCAAATGCAACGGGAATTTCAAAAGATTCATCTCGTGTGGATATCAAAATAAAATTTAAACAAATAAAATTCAATAGTGCTTCAACTGAAAGGAAACAAAGGGCCATAAACACAAAAATGCCAAAGAGCGGCGACCAATAATAGTCTGAAACCGATGATATGAATACACAGCTCTGTGGGACGTAATTAAATGCTCTGCTCTATCTGCTAATAAAATCTTTCTGTTACCTGTCACGTCCATCATGGTGACTCATCTTCTCGGCTTTATCTAAAATTTTTTACACTTACCCAAGAATTTTGAACCTTAACGAGATATTAGTTAGTCTCTGGAAAATTGTTTGATGGTTAGAAGAGAAGGCTGCTGAGAATACGGGTTTTGTTTTGTATTTTGCAATTCTAATTAGGAATACGTGTAACCATATACATTAAAAAATTTATATATATATATTTATTATGAGAGGAAAAAAGGACGCAACTACAACTTTTTCCTCTCATAATATTTATTTATTCTGCTCTGCTTCAACGTATTGAGCACTGTTTCACGCGAAAATCGACTTGCAGACTTCCTATATATATATTTATATATGTGTGTGTGTGTAGTCCTCGTATGACATTATGAATAAAATATTTTCCTTTACAAACTCCTCAGAATGAAAAAACAGGTTCTTTCTTTTGTTTTGAGTTATCTCCCGTTATTATTGCCAAAATTAATATTTATTAAAACGTAAATCGATAAGTTTTACTTATCCATAAATGAAACTTTCTTATAGCAGTAACGAAGAGGTTATAAACTGTTTACATTTCTTGAAGTAATTTAGCAGCTAAGGACTTTTTTTAACGGAAAAATAGACACATAACGTCATCACTTCTGCCCATGTTCCGTCCATATCCTTTATACCTTTCATTTATAATTAAAGCAACGATGTTTTTCACATAAGTTTTTGGGATCTTTATGATCCTTTATGCATAACTTTTTCCTCAAAGCCAAGTACTGAAGAGAAAAATAACTAAAAAGAAATGTATTAGAAATAAACCAGACAAAACAAACATCCCATTTTCTCTTTCTCTCAATCTTACCGTCGTATGTTCGGTAAAAATTTTCTATCATATTTATTCCCCACAGGAAACAAACAACTCACTGAAATTTGACATGGTTTGATACAACACTGGTTTAAACCAGTGTTGACTGTCACACAGAGGTTACATTTCTTAGACCCAACGTTTCGACACTACTGTCTAGTGCCTCTAATCAGGGGTGAAAACCTGTATCCTCATTTCATCGGTGATTGAAATACAAATGACAGCGATACTTAGCAATGCAGACTCTGATGTTCGCGAGTCGGTTGACCTTTGCAACACATTGCAATTTCTCGCAAATAAGATATGTAAAAGTTTACAAGGTAACCAAGTGGACAATCGGACATGATTTGATGCTACTCTGCTTTAAAGATTTAATGAATGTAACCGAGAAGTTGCAATTCAAAAACCAACGTTTCGACACTCCTTTCTAGTGCTTTCATAAGAGGTCACTGAAATTTGTCACACCCTGGCCAGTACACCAACTGCAATCCCTCCCTAGGCCTTCCACCATATGGATGAACACAGAAATTGTTGGCAACCTAAAGTGACCAAAACTAACCGGAATAGGAATAAATAAAAATCAATTTGACGATTTCATCACATCATTTTTCCGAGATATTAACTACACAAAGGAAGTCATGAACACAAAGGTGTTTTGCCTTCTGTAGGAAAAGACCCGTAAAGAATTGGGTGTTGTTGGTATGAAAATGCATAGAATGCTGTATAGGTTTTTAAAGAGAAACGTGCAACTTCCTAATACATATTGGAAAGCAGATGACTCGAAGCGGAGGAGAAAGCATTAGACGAAAGGAATGGTATAAATTAGGTTAAAATGTGAGGCATAAATTGTCATTATGTTGCAGCTTTTACATTTACAACATACCTGACATGCCTTGAAATGCTCAGATGGCATTCATCTTTTAACATAAGTTTCTTTCCCGTGATGGGGTTATTGTCTACTAATAAAATAATAGGAAAAAAACCAGACAAACAAAGTTCGAGTCGCAAAAAACGGATCGTGTATGCCGAACTTACGATTATGGGTTAAAATTTTTCAAGAAGATTAAATCGAGACGAACGATCTTTTTTCACTTGAAATTTTAGTGTTTTCTCTCCCTAAAAATGTTGGTACACGTGCAAAGCGATCTATCCCCGAAAAAGGAGAATCTTAATGGGTCAAGCCTGGAAGGGGAATAACACCTCAGGGATGTTGGTGCTAACTGTGAAAATGTAGGAGCATCACTGCTAAAATTTTGACAACGAAAATAGTCAATAAGAATTCAGATACCGTTCATAAATAATACCAGAAACAACAAAACGTAGGATACAAAGTAAAACAAGAAAACTGTTACTCTGTGGACAAACTTCTTTCTTGCTGCACTTGTGATGAATAACTCCATCTTGGGTGAGAAGAAAAATCTAATCGGTTGCATTACAAGCCGTGCCTTCCCTTTTGGTGAAGATGAGATAACTGCCGTCAGGAGGGGAACAACCTCCTTTGTTAGGTGCCACACAGAAGTCGCCGTAGCTTCGTCTAAAGAAGCGCGTCAAACAGTCACTTCAATGTACTTTGGTCAATACACTATCTAAAAAAATGCCACAATAGTGTGAACAATGTAGGGCGTGATGTCGAAACCATGCAAATGAAATAGAATGAAGTAAAACCACCTAATTTTTACGACGTATCATTTTTTGGCCTTCATATTTCAAGAAAAATTGACATGATCAATGGGGGCTTTATCCTTCTAATCAAATTTAACAAACATAACGGCGCCGTGAATAAATGAGATGTCGTAAGCTCGGTAGAACTGTTCTTCATCTTTATCGCATTTTGCTCCTCATAGGGAGCAAAATATGATAAACTGACCTAAAACTTGGCCTCGCTTTCAGCACAAGGCTACGTAGCTCAGTAGTACCGCCCAACTAAACTATGGGATGCCGCATTTGAAAACCGTGTAAGCCCGGATTTTTTTCTCAATTCTTTCGTTTCAGTTTTTGTAATTGAAGTTCAATTGTGAGGATCATTCTGTCGTTCATTTGACATTGCACCAATCAGGTGCAACATTACCACGGCTCTTCATTACGAGCAATAGAACTTCGCTGGTTATTGCATGATGCCAAGGTCAGTACAATGTAAAATAATTACCACATTGACATGGAGGACTCATGTTGTACATAAACCAACCAAATTAAAATTGATGATACGTCATTTTCCTTGTCAGAAACTCACTTAACAGGGCAAGACATGCAGTCTCTTTCATGCACTGTTTGAATGCTTGGATCACACAGTTTTCCGTCACAACGTCGTTTGGGGTTTGTACATGTTTTGTACCTTCGCTGCTTACCAGGCTCGCATAATTTGTCACAGTTTCCCCATTCACCTCACTCGGTTAGTCCGCCATCCACTGAATACCAAAACAAGTGTTTAACAAATACAAAGGAATAGAAGAAATAATTTTCTAACAAAAATCAAGATCTTACGATTTCCATGACTATGAAAGATAAAAGAGGTTTACCAATACCTTAAGACTAGCTAGGCGTAATCCTCTTTGCTTATCTCGTTAATCAGGCTGGAGTGTTTGTATTGAATATTTCTCGCCTGTATGTCGCAGGCTCGGTTTTAAAGATATAGATTCAACATTTTTTATGAGAGCGAGCCAAGCCCGGATGTCGTCATCTCGGTTTTTGCTTCTAAGGTCTCGGTAAACGGGTCTATAATGTCACCATTAGAAAACACTTCACCCCGCTTGCTATGGAAGGTCTCGCCTTGTTTATCTTGGCTACCGATCACTGGTTGAAATTCCTAATTTGAACTGTGACCGAAGTGAAAACGCCACTCGCAACGCTTAACTGACATTTCCCATAACAACAGAAGACAAAATTCGCCTCGCTATTGATGCCAGCTGGTGAGCAGGTCTTATGATTAAGCTATCGGTCACAAAAGGGGAGATTTAAGAACCCAAGTAGAACCACATTAGCAAAATAAAATTGTAAAATATAGAAACAGTGTTGAGTAGTGATTATTTATACCGAAGTGGCCCAGTTTGTTGTACTTAAATGTAGGGAAATCCTCTGCGTTCACAAGAAAGTTTCACAAGTCCTAGTTTTCTCTGCTAGTCACAATCATCCTTGTTTAACCAGTACCAGATCACCCCTGGATTTTGTATACCCTTCGTCGAAATCCAATCGGACGGATACCGATCCGGGCCCTCCCAAATGATCTAACCGGACGCGTAGTAGGTCGTGCTGCAGGATGTGGTCAGCGGAGCTTTGTCTTATTTCCACGACATTCTCTTGTTTAACGAGTTCCACAAAGAAAATTTCCTCGTTAAGTTGACGTTGTTTTGCGAAATATCCAGTGCCATGAAGTTTCAAAAAGGACAGACGAATTGAACAATTAGTCAGCGCGTGAGTGAATGAGCGAGCGAGCGGGTGGGTGGGTGATGCGTTGTGTTCAAGCGTTAGCGTGCGTTAAATACGTGCACTTGATTAAATTTCTTGTGTGCGCGTTTGTGTTTGTGCGTTTGTTCGCTTTATTTTGATTCCCATTAACTGGGAATAAAACTCCCACACCGATCTATAGAGCCAACGAAAATTTTGCGTACCAAGTTAGCAGCAATTTAAAAAAACCACAATAGTAATATCCATACAATTGATATGAACGGAGGCCGTTTTCTCTCTCACAAGGCAAAGAAGTCAACTTTGGGAAGGATTTACAAAGTAAACGTTTCATAAGAAACCTCTGCCTTTCAGCCTACTTGATAAGCGGTTTTGAATAGAGGCGATGCGAAATTGCTGGAATTTCCATCCTTTAAGCAAATCGTTAAGGTTACAATTCCCAGTTTTAAGAAAGACTTCGTAAAATTTCACGTTCTCTACTTAGTCGTTTGCGTAACCTTACGCTAGTCTACTAACTGGGTATAAGACTGAGAGAACAGAGGCGATTATAGAGTTGAATTTCCCTGATACAGTAGCTAAATCTTTGATATCCTATTCACGTGTGCCTTGGAAGTGGAAAAGCATGTCGCTTAAGTAGATATTTAAAGAGGAAGTGGTCTCAAAATCTAAATTACCACTGATGCTTTTTTTTAAGCATGCCCGGTAGGCACCTACACGGTCGAACTTATTAGATTCCTAATGTGAGCAAAACACATGTCACAAAAGTAATTGTTCAACCACGTGAATCATCTTAATAACGAGGTATTCCAAAACAGGAGTAAGGATAAGGTACCACTGAGGCACAGCGACCATACGGTGAGTGAGGTCTACTACAAAGTTCATATGAGACGCGTCCTGCATACCGCTAGGATCAGCAATGTCAATAGCATCATGTTTGTTAGAGGAATAAGAGGGATGGTAAGTTTTGAGCTCGGTAAGAAATAGAGAAAGATGTTTTTCGTCTTGTTACAAAATCTTTATCTCTACAACTCAAAACAAATAATAGAAGAAAAGAAGAAATGTTTCATTTCAGTCATTTTCAGTATAATTTGATGATTGATTTGACGCTTAAGTTTGCTTTCATGCTGAATATCATAGCCACCTGCCGTGTTAAGTGACACGGCTTTGATCATTATTCAAAAATGATTCAAGAAAGTTTTTCTATCCCATCTCATGTCCAAATAGTAAAAGTACATGTCTTCTGTTTCTACATGAATTAATTCTTGTTTGCATTCTATTTTCAGAAAATTAAACTTAAAAAATCGAATGCAACTCTGAAAAAGATTGTTTGGTTAGGTTACTGCTGCTGATAACATTTGGAAATCAATGCCACACTCCTAATCGTAATTCAAAAAGAAAAATAAATCGTGACTGATTAGAGTGATACAATTTTGTTTTACAGCATTGTTTTGTTAAAAACCTGCTGCTGATAATCATTACGAAAATCATGCCAATGACAACTCCTAATGTTACCACTTAAGAAAATAAGTAAGTAGTCTTTAAGTAGTCTTTTTGATTACACTATAACCTATTGGTTTGGCTGTGTCATTACGGCAAATTGCCTGCTAATCTCAATGGTTTCGTACACAAAGATTTTCTGCACTCTTCTTCACCATCGCGCCCAAATTCAAGGACAGGTTCAGCAACAGCTGAGCCAACCAAACTCACTGAACATGGCGCGATACAGAAAGGCGGTGTACAGTGCATTGTGGGTGCAGTTGGCATTAGTGGTTTGTTATTTATATGGTATACAGATTATTGTGCTAATTTTAACAAAAGCCTATTTATCAAATTTCAACTTCAATTTGCAAATAACGCCAATATTAGTATGCTTTAACTCAACATTAAACCTGTTCCTTTACTGTTGGAAGATTCGTGAAAGCAGTAAAGCAGACAGTCAGGCAAGCACTTCGTTGTAAATCGAGTTAGATCGTCTTAGGGTTATTTACGATTGAGTTCCTTAATTTAGCTGGCGCGGTGAATTATTCGATTTTGCTCCCCGACTATAAGCAGCTTTGCCACATTCGATTGTTAACCAACTATGAATATTAAATCATAGCTGGCGAATTCGTGTAATCAAATTCAATTGCCCAAGCGTTCTTCATCTTGTTATTGTGTGCCTTTATGATGTCAGTCCCTTTGGAAACGTATAGAGAATGGTATAGAATAAAATGCGTGCTGATTCGATCTCTTTTCATGATACCTTGGTCTTGCACCTCGCAGCACATGATACATTTCTAAACTGATCACATGTACCATATCCAGCCGCTTCAGTGTTCAGTTTGTCAGAACATCCTTTGTTGGCATTTTTGGCGGATGAAAAATTAACGGAAGAGCAAAAACGATAGAAGTGTCAGAAGCTCAGATCTGAGAAGGTACATATCCTTGTCATGAGTTTAAATTTAAAAAAACTTGAGGTAAATGACTACCTGACTACCTTTTTACTCCACTTTCCGTCCACAGTTTTGCCCTGTACTTAGTGCCGTGGCACATCTTACGCATTTCAATGGTAGAATGATGGTAAAATGGTAAAACATATAAATGGTAAAATGGCGTAGCGGTCCAATAATAAAAACAATCATTTCAACGTACTGGCTCCCCAAAAATCCTTGCACTGAGGTTCGTGAATTTCGCTGCAATTTCCTTGATAGCAATGCGACTAATTAAAACAAAGAAAAGTTGTTTTAGTCAACGAGCATGTTGCATTCAGATGACAACAAACAGAAATGGCAGAGAAAGATGCTCTCTTATTTACACAAGAGTAGAACTTCCTTAATCTGTTTACACATGATGGCTCTAAATACAGCTGTACTCTAATAATGAAGATGAGTTCAACTGAACGTTGTCTTTCCGTGCTGCCTACTAAAAAAATTGCTCCTGAATAAAATATGGTTCCAGTTAGTTAATATAGTTAAAATTGGGAAATCAAGTTTTATGGTTAAGTGAGCAATAGGTGTTTTGATTCTCTAAGGCCAATCAATACTTTTGGCTAAACCCTTTAACTCTCATGAGTGACCAAGACAGAATTTCTCCTTACAATATCAACACAGAATCAAGCAGATAAGTGAGGAGAATAAAGAACAAAACTCAATTAGGGGACTACAAGCCCAAATTCTCCCAACTGATATCATAAATATTTGATGGCAGACAGTAAGGAGAATTACTTATGAGATCTTGGGAGTTAAAAGGTTCAAATACAAAGGAGTTGCAATAACTTGAAATTACCAACCTTATTACCTCAATTTGATCACTCAAGTACTGCGTGAGGCCAGCCCATACAGGACTTGCATACTCCAAGACAGATCTGATGATGCTACAGTAGACCAAGATAAGCTGCCCATCAGTTAAACCACACTTCTTAAGAGCACGTATTGCATATAACCTCTTGTTTCCTTTCTTTACAATATGAAATACATGCTCGCTCCACGTTAAGTTATCTGATAAGTGTACCCCCAACAACTTGTTACAGGAAACCTTTTCTAGTATAGAATTACCAACAGCTAAAGGGGGTGGCGAAAACGGGCAAAAACTGGGGAGAGTTGAGAGTTTCTGCTTTTTAAATTTGTTATGCCCAACAGGAATCCTTTACATCTTTAATAAAGTCTACGAATCCTTCCTTAATCTTTCTTGCCATAAGTAATTAAAAATCGCAAAAGGGAGGGGTAGTGAGGATTCCCGAGCACAGCAACATCATAAAGATAATAAGAAAAAACACCGAATCATCACACAAAAAGGCTGCAAAACACCGATACGATCAATACCGCAACATGCTTTTTACTGCGGCCATGCATAATTACAAACACGATTGGACACTTAATGGAGAACCAAGCTGAAACCCAGACTGCATATTAGCATCCTCTGTGGAAAGCTCGATTAGATTATCCGGGTACGGTCGTATTGAACTTAAGCCAGTCGCCAACAAGAGTAAGCGATTCAAAAGGGAGACTCAGAAACCGTGTCTATCTACGCGATGGAATAACTTTGTCACCAGTATTACAACATACAAAAATTAAGGCTCTGCAACTACATATGCTTTGTTGAGTCACCACTGTATCTAACACCAATGGAAGGAATGGCGATTGATGCACACATACACTGTTCTTGTTAAAGCACTTAGGTATTGTGGAGCTAGAAATGATAAAGTAAGCTCTTATGTTTCCAAGTGTTCGTGACGTGTTGCAAAGCTGAAAGGAACCCTTTTCCCTCAAAAATCTTTACAAATTCAATAATACGTTGGCCAGTCGTTCTTAAAGAACAGGTAGCGAACAATTACACTTTCTTAATTCTTCCTTTATTTTTTGAACAACACTCCATAACTCGCGGAACGAAACAAAAAAAGGAGGCCACAACCCGTGCGGATTCGGGAGTATTGGACAGCGCTCCCTGTTGTTTTTCATGGATTTTTGGTTGTGTGCGATGCATCGCTATGTAGTTTTCTTGTTTTTTTTTTTATTTTTAATTTTTTTCGGTTTGGTCAACTTCGAGCAACAAGCGGAACGAAAACATTGTCGTGTTGATATTTCACGCGAAGTGTAGAGGATGTTTAAAATGAGGAGGTGAGTGAAACGTTTTGATCTAGTACAAATTTAACGAAGGTATAATTTTTTTTATGTATATCCACAAGAATAACTTAAGTTTCAAGGATATCAGTATACTTGTGTAGAACGTGATAAATCTACTCCATTTGAATTATGAATTTTTTTTAATTTGTAGTTGTTGATACCCTGCTCTTTCTGCTTCTGCTGCTTTCAGTTCTGCTTCCCCTGTAGTTAGTGGCTTTATACTTTTCACAAAGCATCAAACTTATTTTCTGTTCAGGTGATGATTTCTTCAGAGATTATATGACAGTTTTATGACTTCTCTAAGAATGATGTGCTAGCTGTGAATACCAAAGTGAAACCAACCCATTGCTTCATTTACTTCCTAACCGACTTCCCACCTTTTCTCCGTTGGTGTCAGTGTAAGAGACGTAAAAATTACTTTTCTCTCCAAATATGATGACAAATTAAGGTTCTATTTTTCATTCAAGATTTTTTCAAAAAAAAAATTGGGTTCCTATGATTGGATTTATTTTCTCTGGAAAGGCCATTTCAATACACGTTAAAATGAAATGTTTTGGACCTTATTGCTGTAAATGTCTGTTTAATTTTCACGGCGCAAAATCTGCTCGAGATAAAACTTCGATTGATGTGTGCATGAGTATAAGTGGAATGTGCAAAAGATTTGTTATACAACGATTATCGACAGGCGTTTAGAGAAAGTGCCCTGCGTAACAATTTTTACCCACCCCTTCGCTAATATTTCAACTGAGCGTTTCGCCATCTCATGCAACGTTTCTATGGCTTTGTGTTGTCATTCCCAGTTTCCTACCGCACCAGAAGACAAAGGCGCAGTCGTTTTTCAGCTCTCTCAAAATGGACCACAATGGCTTATTAAGAGTAGGTATGACTTGCTGTAACATTTTTTTGCTTCAGCAAAATCAATATTCATACAGCAAACAATGCAACTTAAGCCTTTATTATCTATCTTCAAGTTTGCCGCAGCTTTCACGGCTATTGGTATGATATAAGCATGATAATATAAGTACGCCAATAAATATTTCTCCGCACTGGAATTCAGGCAGTTGGTACACCTGCAAGAAAAATAAAAAACGAACACTTATCAGAATTTTTCGGACGTCAATGCTATCCGCGGCTAGTGTAAAACTGCAATCCACACAGTCACGTGTTCTTTCTTGCACTTTTGGCCCGTCTCGTGTATTCACTTGGTGCGTTCCTATTGGCTCCTTGCTCTATTCTCCTTTATTCTAATTGCATATTGTGATGTTTTTGGTTTGGCGACACTCATATTAAAAGCGCTCTTAAACGTATCCAATTTTCTCTTTCTTCCAATCTTAGCGTCGTAAGTTCGGTAAAATTGTTTTTCATATCTATTTGACATGGTGTGATGCTACTCTGGTTTAAAGATTTAATGAATGTAACCGAGAAGTTACAATTCATAGATCCAACCAACGCTTCGAAAGTCCTGTCTGGTGCCTTTATCAGGAGTGAAAACTCGTATCCCTTAACATTCCGCACAGGAGATCGAAATCTCAAACTCAATGGAAACAGATTATATTAATTGCATCGGTGATTGAAATACAAATGACAGTGATACTTAGCAATGCAGACTCTGATGTTCGCGAGCCGGTTGACCCTTATAATACCAGTTTGACAATATTTTTCTCGCAAATAAGATATATTAAAGTTCACAAGACAACCAGGTGGACAATCAGACATGATTTGATGCTACTCTGCCTTAAAAATGTTTATGAATGTAACAGGGAAGTTACAATTCATAGACCAACGTTTCGACACTCTAGTACCTTCATCAGGGGTCACTGAAATTTGTCTTACCAAGTTCAAAGAAGTTGAGCTTCAATCTTTCTTCGCCACACCCTGGCCAGTACAACAAGTGCACTCCCTCCCCAGGCCATCCACCGTTTGGATGAACACAGAAATCGTTCTTCAAATTCTTCAGGTTATTGTGTGTCGGCAACCTAAAGTGACCAAAAAACTATGCATGAGTAAACCATTATTCTCCACGAAAAGAGATATACTTTAACTGGAATATCAATAAATAAAACCGATTTGACGATTTCGTCACGTCATTTTTCCGAGATATGTATGTCATGAACATAAAGGTGGTTTGCCTTGTGTAGGAAAAGACCCGTAAAGAATTTGGTGTTGTCGGTATGAAAATGCTTGGAATGCTATTTAGGTTTTTAAAGAGAAACGTGCAACTTCCTGATACATATTGGAAAGCAGATGACTCGAGGCGTTGATAAATAGTGTAATTGGAAGAGAAAGAATTAGCACGAATGGAATAATATGAATTTTGTTAAAATATGAGGCAGAAATTGTCTCTATGAATTACCACGAGAGGAATAGCATGAATTAGGTTAAAATATGAGGCAAAATTTGTCATGTGAATTATCACGAGAGGGATAGTATGAATTAGCTTTAAATATGAGGTAAAAGTTTCCATATGAGTTATCACGAAGGGAATTGTATGAACTAGAATAAATATGAGGCAAAAATTATGTCATTAGGTAACAGCCTTTGCATCTACAACATACCTGACATGCCTTGAAATGCTCAGATCGCATTTATCCTTTAACATAAGTTTCTTCCAATTGGTAGGGTTATTGTCTGCCAAAAATAAGAGGGAAAAAACCGACAAACAAAGTTCAAGTCTCAAAAAATGGATTGTGTGTGACGAACTTACGAATCTGGGTTCAAATTTTTCAAGAAGTTTCCATCGAGACAAACGATCTTCGACAAAAGAATTTTTTCACTGGAAATTTTAATATCTCATTCCCAAGAGATGTTGGTACACGAGCAAAGTGATCTATTCCTGAAAAGGGAGAATTTTAATGGGTCAAGCCTGGAAAGGGGAATAACACCTTCGGAATGTTGGTGTTAATATAGGTAATCACATGATTTCGAGTGCAATTTGGAATAAAGACGAGCCCGTGGGGCGAGTGCAATTTGTGGTCTTTGAAAAAATTAACAAGTGCTTGTTTATTCCAAATTGCACGAGAAAAATCATGTGATTACATATTAATAATATACATGGAAAAATTCGAGATGGCTTATCAAAATTAAGCATATGCAAAGGGCGCGCATCAAGTGCAAAAATAATTTATTCAAACCGTACGTTCGGTCAAAACAACAACGTACGATCAAAAGAATAATGTGCAATGATATCTTCACATCTTTAAGGCGCAAAAGAGTTCAAAGTCCGGCTAAACAGTTCAAGGAATTTTTCAGTCTGTGTCCGAATCACTTTCGATGAAATGGAATCGTCGTTTCCGAGGTTTAACCATGTTTGTTTCTAATTTCGGTGTTGGATCGCTCGAGCAAAATGTTAAGCTAGGTCGGCTCGTAATTTTCGATTTCCTTGGCAATTCCATTCCCTAAACACCACTTTTTCCAAACCGAAAACTAAGAAGCAGTGCTTTTTACAGTATTTTCGTTGTTTGAGCTGTTTCTCAGTGGCGGTGGCGAAAGAAAACCTACTTAAAACGCCGGCCATTGTTTCGCTCGCAAATTTTCACATTTTCAAATTTTGTTGCGACATCCAAGGCTTGCATTTGATTGCCTATCTGTGAGTTTCTTTGATTATTGACCAATCAGAATGTCTGATTTGTTAATTTCTTTGCACTGAATTAACCCTCTTCTGCACTGAATTAACACTCTACTGCACTGAATTAACACTCTACTGCACTGAATTAACACTCTACTGCACTGAATTACCTGAAAACTGCATTTATCTTAACCAATCAGAACTGAGAAATTTTTCCATGTATATTATCAACTGAGAAAATGTTAGGGTATCACTGCTAAAATTTTGCTGTTAATCGTAGCCCTTAAAAAACAGAAAAAAAAACAACGAATATAGTCAATAAGAATTCAGATACCGTTCAACCGTTCATGTTACCAAAAACAACAAAATGCAGTGTAGAAAGTAAAAAAAACAAAACTGTTACCTTGTGGACAAACTACCTTCTTGCTGCACTTATGATAAATAACTCCATCCTGGTCGAGAACAAAAATCTGATCGGTTGCATTACAAACCGTGCCTTCCTTTTTGGTAAAGATGAGATAACTGCCGTCAGGAGGGGAACAACCTCCTTTATTTGGGGCCACACAGAAGTCACCGTAACTTCGTATTCCGCTCTCTAAAGAAGCACATCAAACAGTCACTTCAATGTACCTAGCTTGGTCAATACGCTATCAGGTATAATCAGGTATAATCACTTACCAGGGCAAGACATGCAGTCTCTTTCATGCATTTTCTGAATGCTTGGATCACACAGTTTTCCACCACAACGTCGTTTGGGGTTTGTGCATGTTCTGTACCTTCGCTGCTTACCAGGCGCGCACAATTTGTCACAGTTTCCCCATTCACCCCACTCGGTTAGTCCGCCATCCACTGAATGCCAAAACAAATGTTCAACAAATACAATGGGATAGAAGAAATAATTTTCAAACAAAAATGAAGATCTTAAGAAATCCAAAAACTTATTTCACGAAGATTATTATTGCATTTGTAATTAGCGCATGACTCTAAAAAGATAAAAAAAGGCTTACCAATACCTAAAGACTAGCTAGGCGCAATCCTCTTCACTTATCTCGTTAATCAGGCTAAAGTGTTTGTATGGAAAATTTCTCGCCTGCACGTCGCGGGTTCGGTGTTTAAGATCTAGATTCAACATTGTTTCCGTTCAAAAATTTGCTTAGTGTTTTTTATGAGAGCAAGCAAAGCCCGGATGTCTTGATCTCGGTTTTTGATTCCAAGGTCTCTGTAAACAGGCTTACATTGTCACTATTAGGAAATACTTAACCCCGCTTGCTATAGAGGGTCTCGCCTTGTTAATCTTGGCTATCGATTGCGGGCTGAAATTCCTCATACGACCTGTGACTGGGGTAAAATTGCCTCTTGCTACACCTAACTGACATTTCCTATAACAACAGAAGAAAAAATTCGCCTCGCTATTCGGGCCAGCTGGTGAGCCGGTCACAAAAGGGGAGATCTAAGAACCCAAGCAGAACCACATAAGCAAAACAAAATTGTAAAATGTAGAAACAGTGTGGAGTAGTGATTGTTCATACCGAACTGGCCCAGTTTGCTGTACTTAAATTTAGGGTAATTCCCTGCGTTTACGTCAATACCTGGTTTTCTCTCCTCGTCACAATCATCCTCATTTAACCAGTACCAGATCACTCCTGGATTTTGCATTCCCCCATACCCAATCCAATCGGACGGATACCGGTCCGAGCCTCCCCAAATGATCGAACCCGACGGGTAGTAGGTCGTGCTGCTGGATGTGGTCAGCAGAGCCTTTTTCTCAGTTCCTTTGGCGTCAAACCACGGCATTCTCTTGTTTAACGACTTCCACCAGGAAAACTTCCAATCGTCAAATTTCGTCGTTAATTCGACGTTGGTTTGCGAATTATCCGATGCCATGAAGCTTCAATAAGCACAGAAGAATCGAACTAGTAAGCGTGTGAGTGAATGAGCGAGCGAGCGGGTGGGTGGGTGTATGCGTGCGTTCAAGCGTTCGCGTACTTACGGGCACATGAGTGAGTGGTCGAGTAAGTGAGTTCAGAGATCAATTAATTAAACCATTAAAGGCTCTTTACGAATCACGTAACAGATTAATGAATAACCGAACAAATGAATCAGTTGATTTCACTTTGTAACTCCGCCTGAAGGCTGTCCAACGACGCTATCATAAGCCACAATAACCAGATGTATCCCTCCTACAGTACTCGTATATTGTACACTACACATTATTTTGTTTAATGCAGCACCTTTTTTTCAAGCAGAATGTTGCTGCAGCCGTCGCGAGTGACAGAGCTTAAAAATCATGACTATCATATGTAAACTTGCTGTAGAATACGTTGGGTCATCCTGGATGTGAAGTAATGTGAATTTTAAAATATTTGACTAAAGTTTTACAGTCACCACCAATGGTAGAGTAAAGCTATCAACAAGTGAGTTATTTCGAATAATGGAAAGAACGATTTTAAAACATCCATTTTTCAAGACGTACCCTCATTTTATCGGGAGAAAAGAAAGCCTTATTCAAATTATGCATCTACAAACGCGCACCTCGTTTCTTGCTACATTCAGTTATTAGCTAGTTTACTTTAACCACTGATCTTGTAAACTGCGGATGGAATAAAGTTATGATCTTTGTCTTAGAATAAGAATCATCATTCTCTTTCCTGTTTTCCTACCTGTAAGACGTAGGAGCTTCAAAAATCCCTCCCCAGTGGCGTCTAGAATGAGCATCCAACATGTACTGGAATGTGCCATTGTTGTTCAGGCTTTTAATACTGTCTGCTAAGTCTAGGATGGAGTAGTCTCGATTCAGTCCTGGATGAAGGACATTTCTAGAAATGACAGAAATATTTATCAACAAACCGTGATCGCTTTAATAACTATTCACATAACTTTACTTTCTCAATAGGGCAACGTCCTTACACAAACCCGGCTAAACACATTTTAAAACGTATCTTTTTTTGGGACTGGACACAGCATTAAAACGCAATCGTTAATATTTATTATGTAAATAGTTTGAAAACTAAACAAAAAATGTCTTGCTATTATCATCATAATTTTCATTTTTTTGTCATTAGTATTATTAATACTATAACCAACATTGTCTTATAATTATTATTATCAGTCTTGTTATTATTTCAACTTTTTGTGATCGAAGAGCATTTCCACATGCCCTTCGACGAACTCTATCGCATCACGTGACCAAGTCACTTTTGGCTTTAGCCTTTCATATCATTGGTTGAGGAGGGGCAAATGTTATCCATTACTACCTGTGAGGGACCTGTGCTCGAGTCCAGTTATTGTTAGCACTCGTCACAATAAGAGTGAAAGCTCCTTTTGCTGTTGTCATATCACAGTAGACCGGGAGGTACTGGGTGTCACTGGTTTTTACCAGTTGAAAACTATCGTCATACTTGATACCAGCTCTCACTCCATGTAATTTCAAATCGTTACAAGATAGCCTGTTGAAAGAGGAACGAGTCTAAATTATAGAAGTGAAAGAATCAAAGGTGAAAAACTTAAAGGTGCACAACTCGTGCACCTTTAACAAAGGCAATTAAGTTTTACAAAAGTCATCGTTTGCAAAGGTAAATCTGCGCCCACGGTAATTTGGTGTTTCATCAAGATACAAACGTTTTTGCCAATGCTGAAGATCTACTTGTTTCACAAAGCAATGGTTTGCTATTCTTCCAGAGAAATTAGGGAAATTACATATTAATATCTAATCTTATGGCAAAAGCCTTTTCCAATAAGAAATAAATAAATAACTATTATACTGAACAGTGCATATGACGTGATACTTATATCTGTCCTTGATAAAGTTAAAAATTCGAATTTCACCTTGTCAAGTGAAATTGCTAGAATGACTGGCAAAAAAGAGTGTACGTTTATACCACGGCCACCGCCTTAACTTACGACATATGCTGCTCAAAATAATTTTCAAATGACTATCTGGACGTAGAAAAAAAAAATCTGAAGTTCACCTAGCACCCTCTCTCATCCAGTATCGAACAACATTCGGTTTTGGCTTCTCTGGCTCCAGATACGAGGCAGAGCTAGCGCCACTGTTATATGCCAGAGACCCTGACGAGTCATTCACAGTTGATGCACTGCTTAATAAAAGATCTTTAGATAATCCCAGTCTGGGCATGCGCTTTCCCAAGTTGCTGTTCTCATCCCACGAGTCGAATTTCTTCACGATTTTTACTTTGGTTTGTTTGTCGCTCGTGGATAGGAATGTATAGTCACGTGGTGCTTCCCAGATCCCTCCCCAGCGGTTGTTGCCGTCTGCCTCAATTCGGTATTGAAAGAATTCCTGCTTGAAGACAAGGCAGTACAAACGTAAGTGTCAATAGAAAATATTGCATTTCCATGATCTAAATATGGCGGAAAACGCAAGTGACTAAGGCAAAGCTAAAGCAATCATGAATAAAGGGGGTAAAAGCTGTTGGATGATTTCGTATGGGCACCAACTTGGCGGAAAACGCGAGTGACTGGGGCAAAGCTAAAGCAGTCATCAATAAAGGGGGTAAATTTCTTGAGAAATGATGGAGCTGCATCTGTTGGGGAGTATAACAAGATAATTTGGTTTTATTGACTCAGTTGATAAAGCCAAATCATAAAGCAATTATGGATTTCTTGCGACAAATATTTGAAAATTGCTCTATAGTGCATCCTGGGTTACTTGCAACAATCACTCTACAATTGTTCTTTGATCGGACCTCCATGGGAAATATCAACGTCTTTAAATCCATATATCAATTCAAAAGCGACATTGGCCCACGAGTGGGAAAGAAGTTGGATGATTTCGTATGGGCACCAATTTGTAGGGAAACATTATCATTTATTTTCCTTCAACAAATATACTGAACATGTCCTCGAAAATCACCCCTCGATCCCTAAGAAGTCAAACTCATCTCATTGCGATGGATTCACCTGAGCTTTGTCAAAGTCCTTTATGGCGTCTGCAAGCCCCAGTATGGAATAGTCATCTTGTAAAGAAGGCTTGTTTGAGTTTCTTTCTTTGATACTGTCTTTGTCCCACCCGCTGTGGGTCTTACTCGTCACGAGTAGCGTCCAGGGCCCTCCCTCAGTCGTAAAGTCGCAATACGTTTTAACTTCATGCTGTCCAGGAGGTTTGATCGCGAAAACTCCATCTGAAAAAGAAAGAAACAAACAAAATTCACGGTTACACTTAACTCGGAAAACTAATCAGCCACGCGCTTCGAATGCCATCCTGAGCCCTACCTAGGATCGCCTTAAGACGGACTCCCGACGAACGACGAAAGAAAAGCTGTCTTAGGGAAACTTGGAGGAGAATCGTTGAAAGGGGATATAAGGGATGTAGGCTGGACGTGGGGTCACCTTAACTAGCAGGCAACCGACAAAAATTAGTGGCGTTAAACATTTTTATCGAAATCAAATTTTTCGACTAAAATACTATTGTGGCTTTCTCATAGCTCGAAGACAAATTTAGGTGGTCACAACTCATCATAGCCATTGTGGCCGTGCCTTACTCATGTTAACACAACAGGGCTCTGAGATCAATTTTATTCATAAAATAAATTTTTATATCTGGCAATCATAAAATGGTTGCCAGATGTAAAATTTCCTGAAAAAAAAGGAAAAAGGATATGACACTCCGTGTTACTTCAAAATGCGATGTATTTTACTCTGGTAATCATTATAGGAGACCCACCCAACATCTCAAGGCTTGGTACTCGACCAACCAAGAGAAGGACCGTTTATACAATTTTATTCTAGGCACACATTTATATCACTTTAACATGGATAGTTACTTTACTCACTTTCAAGGACAAATCTAGTCGTGAAAATGTTTTCCTATTCTTCATGGTGAATGAAACAATCACGGCTTATTAGGATGTGAAACAAAAAGTCTTTCACTGAATTTCTCCCTGAATTGTTTTACAATCAGTCAAAGTATTTTCAGCCAAAGCGTTTCTTTGATGCGCAATTAACTGTCGACTGTTTCTATTCACTCAGGCGCTTTTAGAATAGCTGATGTAGCTATAACCTTCAAAAGAATCTCAACAGCTGATCAGAGCGAAAATAAATATCAAAACCGGGCAATGAAGAGTAAAATCTAAACATAAGCTCCTGAAGCGGCCCCAAAGGTAAATGTGTGAACGTCGTTGGTTAAAAATTAAAATCCTTTTGCCCTTGCAAGATTACAGAGAAAATTAAAACACAACCAATGTAATCAAACATTTCTTCTGACACTGAACAAAGAACTATTCCAATAATTTTGAGTTATTGGATTAAACAACTCAGCCTGGTAAACCATACCCAGACTTACTTGACACGGGGTTTGTCAGGAGCCCTCTGAAGTATACTTCTTTACATGAGCTAGGAGTTTCATGAGGTCCCTCTCTCATCCAGTACCAGATATATGATGGCCGACGCTCCTGCAGGTGACCGATTATCCATGGAGCGGGGTGGTATTCCATATCGCCCGCTAGAAAAATATATCAACTATCAAATCATTATCCGAAATAAATGTTTCGAAAGGATCCGATGAGAAAGCACACACTTTATCTGCTCCTTTTTCCTCAAGACCAACACTGCACTTCATTTCAGGTGATTTTTACCCGAAGTAAAACATGGGAAACTTTCGTTAAAAACTTTGTTACAAAAACATTGGCTGTGGGAATGTTTTCCTTCGAAAAAATTGTAAAATATATGTTATTAGAATTTTCAAACCATAAAAAAATAAATTAGACGACTGACAGGAAGACTGCATGTAGAAGGATAAATATATATTTCATCAGGCTTTCCTTGTCACCTCAATGATTACCTCGAAAATCAAAATTTAATAAAAGAAACTTTATTTTCTTCGCCTTCGGTATTTTTTAAAGAGTGCGTGGGAAGTTTATTGCTTGTTAATTATGTTATAATAGTAAAGGCTATTCACCTGTTATTGTCCCCCACCAATGTCGCTGAGCATCCTGGGATGTAGTTAACTTGGCATCAGAAATCCACGGCATTCTTTGTTCAATCCCATAGTCTGAATATTCCCAATTGTCAAACTTCTTGACCAGCTCAATATCCGTTTGTTTGTTGTTGTCAGCTGTGAACGTAAAAACTCTGGGCGCCTTCCAGATACCTCCCCAGCGACCTAAAAAATAAACCATCTTTCTTCAGATTCATTCCAAGGCTGACGATGATTTAGATTCACATTCTGTGGTCATCTGAAAGTGTCCTCGTGCATAAAACTCCACCGAAACACAAATAAACGTGTTAACTGTAAAAGAGTACGAAGAGCCACTACGGTGTCAAGTGATGTGAAGTTTGCCCTTACATTTGAAGACGTATGGGCTTTGTAACCAACAAATGAAGGAAAAATGGGAAGGGGCGGATGGAGCCCTTTTTTGGTTCGTTTAAGTCTTTTACCCTTTTTGGAAAAATCTAACTTTACTTAGCAAGAATGTGATGTGCTCTACCGGAAAAGAATTTTGTGTGAGTTATGAAAATTTTGGCGACATAGTATCCTCCATGTTGGTGAACACGACAATAATTGTGTTCCTCAATGTTTAACTTAAAAAAAAAGGTTGATAAGCAAATAAAAAAAGAGCAAGCAATTGCATTTCGTGCAATTGTTTTCTCTTTGTTAATATATTCCCCTGCAATGTTTTTATTGAAATAATTACCTGGCGATTTAAAAAAAAAACACACGACTTCTGACTTTCATGTTGACCACACTTTGTTATTGCGGCTACGGAAACTCGCTTCGCTAGCAACCCCTGCCCTGCTCGTTTGAAAGGGAACAAGATTCCTTGATATAATGAATTACCTCGGCTCTGAGCTTCTAATCGATATTCAAACGTAGAGCCAGCTACTTTGATATTATCTTTAATACTGTCTGCATACTGCAGGATGGAGTAATCATCAGTCAACTTTGGAGAGTT